GCCTGATCATTACAAGTCTTTAGACTGATGGCTATATGGTCAAGATGACAGCCATATCCTCTGGAGAACTAGGGTTGTAATTCAGATTAGCACTCCAGGAATTTTTCAAAAGTGATTTGTCATCACTATGTCAGATCCTATTTCTCATCACTGGCCACTTCCATTGTGGACCTGGCCAAATACTTGATAGGTATAATGAAAAGACCGTCTTAAGACTAGAACTCGCTAAACTTAGTAGTAAAATTAAAATTTTCTATTAATTTATTGTATAAAATTTATAATCATATAAACTTCTATCATTAGTTAGGTGTAACTTGAAATGTATGCATATATAAGAATTATAGAGCTAGAAGAGTTAACAATAAATGTTAACTGATAATTAAGTAGATTGATAACATTAGTTAATGTAAAAGAAAAGTTTAAGATCATAAGATACTTTATATGTAACNTGGAAGTAAACGTTAAAGCTGCGCAACTAAACTTTTGCAACTATTTAATATACGTATAAGTAAAAATGGGAAATCTCTACCGTCACTTATACACGTGATCGGTAAACCTGTTCTATTCGGTGTTCTAGCTATTCGTAAATATGTCTTTCCTCGTCTGATCGGCCTTGGAAATGTATTTGTTATCTCTTTATTTCTTCCTACATACAACTTTGTTAGTACAGAAGAAATAAATGCAAATATGCTACTTACACCACAGTATTTACATCTTTTATTCCAAAGTAATTCTAAGAAACTATTAATGCTTGGAATTTTAAAAATAATTAGGAAAAATAGTAATTGAAATTTTGAAAATTTAAATGTTTTTGCAAAAGATATGTAAAATCTTTACAAGTTGTGGGTATTTTAGTTTTAGCATCGACTTTGGATCGAATAATCGAACCAAGAATTAACAAATTAGTTGAGGATATTCAGCAGCAGAAATCTCACTAAATTATTTTTGAATATATTTTGTTTTTTTCTATGAATTTTTAAGTGTTTCTAATTTTATTTTTTGTTAAAAATTAATGCATTTTTATGTTGAATTGTGAAGTTTGAATGTTATTTAAACAGAAAAATCACAAATGTTTTTATTTGTGTTTTTTTCTATGAATTTTGAAGACTAAAATAATTATATACATTTATCCCCTAATCTGGTGGATGAATGTAGTAAGGCATTCTACTTTGCCTAATTTCAAGCTTGACTCTATAGATTTTAATGCCTGAAATTAAAATTTGACAAATGGATTTTAATGAAGATTGGTGTTTTGGGTTACTTTAAAGCCACGAAAAAGTGGTATTGAATGTACAATGAATTAATTAACTAATTATATATTAGCTCTGGTTTATTTAATTGTGCAATGTCTTGCCTTGTTTATGCAAAGCAAGACATTGCTTTGCATAGTGTACTTTCTGTCACTTTGCTACCAGTGTGTACTTTCTGTCACTTTGCTACCAGTGTGTACTTTCTGCTACCAGCAAAGTGTACTTTCTGTCACTTTGCTACCAGAATTGAAAGTAAAGATGGTATCATTACAATTTTTCTTTATTTGCTTCATTTACAAACTCTGCAACATAGAAATTTGTTTTATATTGTAATTTGACAAAAATCTTTATTATAAATATCTGCTGTTACAGAGAATCATAGATGTGTCCATTACAAGATAATACACATAGGCTAAGTAAAGTTTTGCTTCCAGCATTGAAAAGAAAAGTTATTTTTCACAGGCTGGAATAGTCACAAATGCATACTGTGGCTCACAGATAGTCCCCACATTGTCTACAAAGTGATATCCCATCACATCTCAGAACCCACCTGTTTTTACAATACACGTAGTTTTATCATATATATTACATTTGTACACAATATAAATATTATTAAATAACTTCTGAATTAGAAGATAGAGTAAAAATAAATTTCTGCTTCATGTTTTCTAAAAAGTAATTAGATGGATGACCACTTTCAGCATCCTGTTGTATGGCCTGATCATTACAAGTCTTTAGACTGATGGCTATATGGTCAAGATGACAGCCATATCCTCTGGAGAACTAGGGTTGTAATTCAGATTAGCACTCCAGGAATTTTTCAAAAGTGATTTGTCATCACTATGTCAGATCCTATTTCTCATCACTGGCCACTTCCATTGTGGACCTGGCCAAATACTTGATAGGTATAATGAAAAGACCGTCTTAAGACTAGAACTCGCTAAACTTAGTAGTAAAATTAAAATTTTCTATTAATTTATTGTATAAAATTTATAATCATATAAACTTCTATCATTAGTTAGGTGTAACTTGAAATGTATGCATATATAAGAATTATAGAGCTAGAAGAGTTAACAATAAATGTTAACTGATAATTAAGTAGATTGATAACATTAGTTAATGTAAAAGAAAAGTTTAAGATCATAAGATACTTTATATGTAACATGATGTCCCAGTTTAGCTGGGACAGCATGTCTGTTGTCTCATATCCTAGATAAAATCTGCCTAGGAAATCAAAATTCTTGGTTTTCATGAATGAGATTTTAACTATTTTAATTAATGTTATAATGTAGATATAACATTTTTGAACTAAATTTTATTTAAAAATTTGAAAAAATGTTTGATTTGAACAATAAACTGATTTTGAATAAATATTCTTTGAATTTTAATAATGAAAAAGTTTTATTTATTTGTCGAAACCGTGTCTTCTTCTTCTTGTTTCTTCTAATTCTATGTCACGACTTGGTGCATTTATTGACACTTGGCAAATAAAGTAAAAGTGGATGATGAAATTATTTGCCAAGTGTCGATAAATGCACCAAGTCATGACATAGAATTAGAAGAAATGAAAAAGTTATTACTAAGAACAGTGATGTAACAACAATAGCTGATAATATTTTCTGTAGTAGAACAAATTAGTCTTGGATAACTACATGTAGTTAATATAACCATATAAACACAAGCAAGAAAAACTTCTAATGATCTGACTTTTCATTTTCAAAAGTTGGTCACCCTATTTACATGTTTATTTTTAAACAAATGAAAATAGATACAGTACCATTTAGAAAATTATAAATCGTGAAAAAAGTTCAAGGAAATCATAAATTAATGATTTATTTGGACTTTTCATGAATTTTAATCATGTTATTATTAAAACTTGTTGGTATGCAAAATTGAATAAATTATTCCTTCTATTAAAAGTTTTCAATAAGATCATCATTCTGATTTGATACTGTACTGAGAACCTGTAATGAAAGAAATACTTTTTCCAACTATAATTAATTTATAATCAAAGGTAGAACATACTCATTAATTTTATTGAGTATGAACAATTTACCTTAATTAATTATTTGATTAATTAAAATAAATTGTTAAAAGTCAGAAACTAAATGAAAAGCTAAAATATTTGTTAAAAATAACTATAATTAAAAATATGTCTTTAGTCTAATTTAAAACTTTTAATCTGAAGATATAGTTACCTTGCTATTTTTTGTGCAGAAATATAATGTTGTTAAATCAAAACTTATATTTATTATTAATTTGAAAGTACTGGTTTTATTTGAATAATAACTGTCCTCAAATAGTAACTGCATTTCATTCTTAAAGCTTAAAATAATAATCTCTCTTGAATTCAGCAAAATTTAAAGATTTCTGAGAACTTAGGGAAACAATGTAAAACTAATAAATTCTGTAAACTATGGTTGCTAGATAATGCATTTTATTTATTTATTTATCAAACAAATGTTAATAGAAAATGAAATATGTAAAAACTATAACATACAGTAGGTGTAGTTTTAAATTATTTTCTTATTGATGGTATATAGAAAGTAACTCTCATAATAAACCAAATTTAATATTTATTAAAGAATTTTAGAATAGTCTGGAAGAAAAGAATCAGCCCAATGTGGGATTTGAACCCACAATTCCTGCTTTCCATGCAGTTGTGTTGCCAGTTATACTGCCCAGACCTCTGAGTGATTCTTTGCTTCCAGGTGTATTTAATTCTTGATATAACCATCTATGGATACTCACGGCACCAGCTGGGCACAATTCCTATGCCAATGGCCATTAAAATTATCCACTATGGCACTCAGCAGGCTATCTTGGCATGGTGTGTATGTATATATATATAAACATCACTAAGCCCAATGTATTAATAATAAACTAAACAATTGCTATAATTAATTTTGCTATTTTTGTACTATTAATAATTAGATATTAAATCATTTGGTATTAGAGGATAGTTATATCAAGAATTAAATATGTCTGGAAGCAAAGAATTGATTGGAGGTCTGGGTGGTGTAACTAGCAATGCAACTACATGGTAAGCAGGAGTTGCAGTTCAAATCTTGCTCCAGGCCAATTCTTTTCTTCCAGACTATTCTAAAATTATTTAATAAATATTAAATTATTATAATTATTAATTTTGATAAGAGATGGCACCCAATGTCTACCTCTAATACCAAATTACTTAATATCTAATTAATAATAGTATTGAAAAATAGCCTGATTAATTACAGCAATCATTTAGTTTATTATTAACCACTTTCAAACAATAATCAGCCTTAAATAGTAACTGCAGAGAAATTATGCAGTTTAAAATAGTTATGGTTCAAATCCAAATAAAACTGGTAAGATTTTCCAAAAACTATATTAAAAAGTGAAGTTATGAGTTCAAAAGTTGGAGTGAAATTTAAAATAGCTATCCTGAAGCCAGCCAGAAACAGAACAAAAAAACTCTTGGTTCTAATGTGGAATCTAAGTTAAGCTACATTATCAAATTATGTAATTATATTTACACACACTGACTCATTATCAGCTTTTACTTTTAAAATCATCTCATATTACTTATAAGAATAATCTTTGTTAGATTCTTTTACAAGTAATTTCATTCTATAATTAGTTATATAAGTCTGTAAAATTAATTCTGAAGAAGAAAAAGTATTTTCTTTAAGAAATTAATGTATTAATATCTAAATTAATATAAATATTAATTTTATTTAAACAGATGTTTCTTTTTTTTCATTACAGTGAAAAATGGAATTTATATCTTCATTTGATACAAGTATATTAAATAGACCATCTGGTTGGTATGAAATAAAAACATTAACTAAAGGACCATATCCAAGAGGAGGTCATACTGGAATTTATGTTACACAATTATCAGAAACTGCATCCAAAGAAATGGATGACAAAAAAGGCAAAATTTTCTTAATAGGTGGTGCCGATCCCGATCGAGCTTTTGATCAGAGTTTCGTTCTAGATTTAAATAATATGACGTGGGCTGGTCACTCATCAGGCTCTTTCTGTGGCCGTTATGAACATAGCTGTTATATTCCAACGAGTTATCCCGATAAAATATACATATTTGGTGGAGCAGATTTAACAGGAAATAGAAATGACATTCAAGTTTTAGATACTAATACCATGGTTTGGACAACAGTAGAGGTAAATAATATTCATACAAATTATGTATTTTATGAATAAGATAATTCATAAAACTTTTCAGGTTTAACTGAAAAAATTTGTCACTAATGAAAATATCAGTTATTTTTCAGGTAGATGGCTGTCAACCTTCCCCACGAACTCAACATCATTCAGCAGCTTTTGGAGATTATCTAGTTGTATTCGGTGGAGGTGATTGTGGAGCTAATCCTGTATCAGACTGGTATGATATAAACTATTTATATACTTATTGTCTTTAATTAAAATGTAGATATTTATTGGATGAAATTTGAATTAAAAACATGCAACACACTAAATAAAACAGGCAAAATATTTTAAAAATTTGTATTTATTATTTAATATAAGTAGTGATATTAAGGACTCGTACAACATGAATTTCATAAAACACGGAACGTATCTACCGTGTTATAGGGGAGTCTACTGTATAATGTTCTATCTAAAAGCTATCTATTTAATTTCAGTTTGTTAAAAATATATTAACAATTATTAAGACATTATTTATTTGGTGGACATTATTTTATTGTTTAAAATTGATAAATTGAATCTACAATTAATGATTAATTTAATGGTTAATTTAGTTTTGATATTTGATTATATGCACTTAACAAACATTTATGTTCTATTTTTGCTAGAATGATGTATTATTTTATGTTTGACTAATTATATTTATGACATATTTTAACAAAATAAAATTTTTCTTATAGTGATGTTCATATTTTCAATGCTACAACACAATCATGGTCCATATTAACAGCAACAGGGAATGCGCCATCTGTTCGACATGGGCATGCAATGGTTTCATTAGGAAACTTAATTTATGTTCATGGTGGTATGTCGGGCCCCACATTCTATGACGATTTCTATACTCTTGATATGGAAAATTGTATGTGGAAAAAACTTTCTCCGAAAGGTAGAAATCCAACTCCTAGAGCAGCACACAGTATTGTGGCTATTAACAAACAGTTATTTTTATTTGGTGGCCTTTCAAATAGAGGAGCACTTAATGATCTTCATAGATTTGACACAGGTTAGTATTTTTAAATTGCAAAAAGAAATAATCTTTTAAATTAGTGGTGCACAAACCATGGGTTTCAACCCTCAGAGGGGTCACAAGAAAATTTTTTGGGGTTGCCAAATTTCAAAAAATTTATTTGACAATAAAAAATATAAGGTTTTTCTTCAACAAGTATCAGGTACCAGTAAAATAGTGAAATGAAATTTTATTATTTATAAAAATAGAACTATATTTTTTTATGAAAACAATTGTGGATGACTTATGGCTTGCTATTTCCAATACAGATCCAAAAGCAATCATGAGCTCTTTGCAAGCGCATACCTCACATTGAATTCTTATGATGTAAAGTTTTTTAAAAAGTATTTTCATTAAATAAATATTTATACCCATATATGTAAATAAAACCATTGTTTCATAAAGTGTATTCAGACCTCTAATAAGGCAGAAACATAAGTGCAAATCCCAGAAAGAATTTCACTTTAACTTAGTAGATGTTTTTTTAATTGTCAACAGTTTATACAACAAAATTTTACACAAAATGGGAGGGGGTTGGAAATGAAAATAGTCAAGCATCATATTGGTGGGGATAGCTAAGTCGAATCACATGAGGAGTACAAATATATTTCAGTCGTATCTGTGGTTTGTTTTATCATGAGATGGTTATAACCATCTCATGATAAAACAAACTGTATTTCTTAAATTCTAAGATAATCAAATAACAAAGCACTTACTGGAAACAGAATAAATTAAAAAACTACACCTTAATCCAGCAAAAATTTAATAACCTCCTTGCTTTTGTGCTTTAAGGGATTTTTTATTTACCAATATAGAAAATGTGCCACGTTATCATGCTCATATCCTAGAGCCTGCACATTTGATTTGTTAAACATCTTTCTTTGAGTTTGAGGGAAATGTGTTCTTACAAGGAATGCATAGCACCTATGGGTAGTCCTACGTTGGCAATCCTTTGCAAATTAGTATTACGACAACGCGAAAACACCGTCCTACCCAAATTTCAACAACATATCGTTTTGTACGCTAGATATGTGGATGACATTTTCATACTTTGGCAAAGGGAACCTAACCTGCAGCATTTTTTAAGCACAATCAATGATAACCCTTACAGCTTATCACTACAAGTTGACCAAAAGAGCAATACTTATGTTAACTTCCTGGACATTTCCATCACCTGCAAGCAAGGAGAGATCTGGACTGACATATACCGGAAACCCTGCTTTCAGCCCATTTATATCCCACATCAATCCGTTGATCCTAAGCATATCAAGTTGGCATCTTTCAGAGCATGGATTAAATGGGCTTATACACATTACACAAGCATTTATGACACGTTAACAGAACTGGATTAAATTCTTAAGATAGCCGAGCAACAAGGATACTGGAGAGAGGAAGTAGAGAGGCTTATTACATCCGTCCAAACCACAGGACAGCATTCTCCTAGGCAAATAGAGCAAAAAGAATAGTGCTAAATTATATACCATTTTTAAACAAAATACATAGAAGTACTACCAAAGCTAATAATTTTCAAATTGTATACCGATGTAAACCCACTGTTTTCAAAAGTTTAAAAAACGATAAAAAGAGAGGATCGGAATTCAATGACGGTAATTTATTCGGTGCCTTTACATGACCAACATTTCGATTCCAAGCTTGTTTATGTGGGTGCAACGATGCACAGTTTAAAACAATGGCTCAAGGAACACGAGTATACAATCAATAGGAACCTTGACAGCCCTATGCTAGCCACATATGCAAGACAACAAGATGTTAATGTCCAGTGGGATCAGGCAGCTATTATCAAAACATCGATGAATAAGCACACATTGTCTACTGCTTGGAGATCATTTTACAGTAATTAATGATGCTAACGAATTATGCTAGTTTCGATGTTATATTTTATATTATTTATTCTTTTTCACTATATTTTGGCCTTATTTATTTATCTATCTATATTTCAGCTGCAAGGACATCATCTGTTAATTTTTAATTTTTATATTTATTCTATCTATTTAATTTCAGTTTGTTAAAAATATATTNTTTTAATTTTTATATTTATTCCAAAATCATTTTATGTTCTATTCTTAATGTTATATTTTTTTCTGTAACTGATGAAGATTGTTAAAAACGATTGAAAACATTTTTATTATATTAAATTTTTGCTGGATCAAGGTGTAGTTTTTTAATTCTAAAATAATTCTAAAAAATATTGTATTTCTTAAATTCTAAGATGTACCATGGGTTTGAAATTAGCTTTTAAAATTTTTTATAGAGAAAAAAGTTTTAAATAATAAATTTTATTAATTTTGTTAAATAACAAGTCAGAAAAACAATACAAATGCTTTGAAATGTTTAATATTCATTATAGCAGCTCTATTTTTTAAACTCATTTTCTGTATGCAATAGCTATTTGTTTTAATGCTTCTGAAATATGCAATAGCTATTTGTTTTAATGCTTCTGAAATATGCAATAGCTATTTGTTTTAATGCTTCTGAAAAAAAAATGTTATTATAAAGAAAAGAAATAGTATGAGTTTAATGTTTATGAGTGTGATATTTATATTTTTATTGTTAAATGCATTTTCTATTATCCTACATCTATGTAATGCTGGTATTACAAATTTAAATGCATATATTTACTTATATTGATTTTAAATTCTGTTATTTGTTTGTGTACAGAATTAATTTTACAAATAGGTAATTATTATTTTAAAAATATTTATTTATTTGTAGTTGAAGAAATCTGGGTGAAAATTAGTGTTCCTGGAAAATTACCATCAGCAAGATTAGATTTTGCAATTTGTGCAATCAACATAGAATTAATCAGAAATGATGAGAAGGGATCAACAGGTTTTTTCATTTTTTTTATTCTCAATTAGATGTATTCAACTAAAATTGTATTGAAAATTACTTTTTTTTTTATATTTTTAAGTTATTTGAATATTTTATATACAAGTGGAACATCATTTTTACATTTATGCATTGTTTCATGTTGATACCGAAACATTCTTATTTCTTTCAATAGTAAAATTTTTATTTATACATCTAAATTCACTGTGGAGTTTGATTTATATATGTTGTTTTCTTTCTGAAACAGATAAGATATTGGAACATTCTTTTAGAAAACATGTTCAAATTTCTACAATACACTCTTTGTTCTATTGTTTTATCTCTCTCTTTACATTCCCAGAACTAAACGACATAAAATTGTGTTCACTTGTAGAGGAGGATTAGCAAAATATTAATTACCAGTATGAAATGATAGTATTATATAGGGGAAATCTATATGTTTGTAGTATCTTGTAACAGTAAAATATTTCATAAATAAAAAATATTTATTTAAGAAAGCAAGTTTGTTTCCAAAACTATTTTAACATATAATTCTAAACAATTCTAATATAGAACTTCAGTTCTTAATGAGCATTTTAAAATAAGAATAAAAAAGTTTAATAGTGAGCAGCATATTGTCCATTATCAGTGGCATTTGAATCTTGAATAGGCAAAAATCACTTGTGAATTTATTGCCACTCTTCAGGTATTATGTATTTGATTACTGATCATTACAATTTCAAAGAAAGATATGCAATAAAAATGCATTACTGTTTTATTTTATATTTTTATTATAAAAAATAAAGATCAACATTAAAACATTAATGAATGTTTTAGTGTGGTATACAAAGCTGTTATACTATGAGTTTGTCATAAAAAAAACAATTAGTTCTACCATCTCATGATTTATCATGAATTTTGATTATGCCTTTTTGGTCTAATTCCTTAAAATATATAAATTATGCTCCACTGTACAAAACATAATGAATGAAGTTAGTTGAAGACAAAATTTATTTATCATTTAATTTAACTTTTCTTTCATTGCAGAAATTCTGTATTCTACATATTACATAATTTTACATTGTCATATTCTAATTTAAATCTACAGTTCTGATAAGTTTGCAAGCAAATTATTTTTTATTGTTGTTAATTAATCTCAGTTGCTAAAGAATGAAAAAAGAAAATAATAAATGAATAAAAGTAGTCAATTATATTTAAGTAATTTTTTTTTGTACAAGGAAAATATAAAACTACTACTCAAGCAAATTTAACATAAGGAAAATATAAAATACAGTAGAGCGTTGTTTATCCGAAATGTCAGTTAACCGAAAGCATTCCAGTCAGCAAATTTAAATTTTTGCTAGTGCTGTGGCACTGCAATCTTTGGCTATATCTTGGACTACTCAAATACTTTTTTTGGTTGGTGTGTGTTTTAGCTGGCAGCACTGGCATTTTTGTGTGGTGTTTTTCTGAGGACTGTGTCCTGCTGAATCAAACATTTTTGATACCAGATCAACTTCTAAAGTGTATATTTTTTGGTTTTTATATTTTTCAATATATTTATTTTGTTTGTAAAAAATAAAGAAATAATTTTTAACAATACAATAGCCACGATTATTATTTTAAAAAGTTTACGTTAGGCTTAACATCAACAAAAATTCAATGCGAAGTGACATGCAATGGAGAAAAATTTCAACATGGGATAGGTTAATATATTTTTTCATACATAATTGATTATCCAAAAATTAAATTATCCAAACAACCCCAATCCCCAATTGATTCGGATAAACAATGCTCTACTGTATCATCAAATTTTTCCTTATACCTGTATGAACAAACTCGAATTACTGTTTTTATTTCTAAATAATTTTCAGTATCAATCAATTGAAATTTCTGATTAAAAGAAAAAAGAATAACGATACGAGGCAAAAACAAAAATAATAAGTATACATTAAACCTCACTAATTCAAACTAATTGGGGAAAGTTTAGTCTGAATTACTGAAAGTTTAGCTTAGTTAGGCTTTTACTCAAATGTGTATTGTATGGTCTGAAAAGTATACTTTAAATAAAATTAAATTTTATTGTGCATTTTAATTGAACATAGAATGCTTTGATAAACTTTTACAATGCAAAGAAAGCAGTAACATTGTTCTTGTCATTGCAATCATATGGACTTAATAATGAAGCTAATTTTTGTTTACAATTCCTTTTGTAACTGTTCCTTAATCATATCTTAATGCAATTGTCTAAGAGTAATGTAATAATTGTTAAAGTCTGGATTACAATGGACAAATTCAATATTTTAATATATACACAATGCAAGGTAGTAGTCTAAATTATGAATTCCAAATTAGCAAGGTTTACTACACACTATAAAAAATATATTATTATTTACTACTGCATATAATGATATATATATATTTTATAAAGAGAAATTAAAATTTGTAAGTCAAATTTTCATTCAAATAATTCAGTTGATCAAACTGTTTTAACTTTTCATTGATTATCACAATATTGTCATAATTTTTAATATCTCTAATTTAGATAAGTATTTAATAAATGTTTTTAAATACAGCTTCATTAATTCATGTAGGCTCAAATATTTTAAAAAAGTAAAATTATTATTTAAAAATTATTAATTTTGATTTAAATTGATTAATAATTTTATATTTGTGCTAAAATTAAAAACAATTGTTCTATTATTAGATGGCCAATCTCATCCTGTTAGAAAAGCATCTCCATCATGGTTATCTAATACAAGTGAGTGTATATGTTTTTAATTAAATCTAAATTAATGTTAGATGTAATAAAAATAATTAATTATATTGTAAGAATATTTATCATCATCACATAATTCTTAAATGTGTTATGCTGGTGATTATTTTAGTTAAGATTACTAAAATGTATAAAGTATTTAATATTAAAAAGTTAATAATTTTGTATAACTATATTATTAATAGAATCAAATTAAAAAGTTTTTTCTATGGTTTTGCAATTATATAACATTACAATTAACAAAACTATGGAATTTTTGGAAAAATTATAAAATATTTATTATATAAAATAAAATTTGTCTTACTTTTAAAAGTAAGTAGTAAGTAGATTTAATAAATGTTATAAATAAAATATTCTTTAAATACTAACTGATGAGTGCTACAGGACAATCCAAAAAGTTACTGTGCAGTGTAATGACATTAAAGTACAGTCAACCATTACCAAATAGACAACTTATAGGCTTTGTATACAATACTGTATGTATAACTTTAATGTTATTACGAATTTCTCATTGCACAGTAACATTTTGGACATTCTATGTAACTTGTCAGAGAATTTTGAAAGCATAAAACTTTTAGAATAATTTCTAATTGCTATAAATTTGGTTTGAATATTTTATAAATATATTATTGATTCTATTTGTAATATAAATAAGACTTCTGTTTTAAATCACAACTATTTTACTTAGCCAAATGTTACCAGATTTCTAAATTTATCATTGTTTTTATTTAAGTAATACTAATGTTGTGTTAGTCTGTTTGGAATGATTTTAATACTTTGATTCAAATTTGAAGAAGTTTCATCATACATAAAAGTACAGTCGACCCCCCTATAACGTGCATTCCTATAACGACAATTCCTATAATGTAGCGAAAAAATTGTAGCAACTTTCGTATAAAGTACCTCCTATAACGTCGTTTCGCGACAAGATTGATAGAATCTGGACCAATAGTGGATGAGCAGCCGAACTACTTTCCTCCGACCCTGCGCCACGCTACGGAGCGGCTAAATTGAGTTTGCTATCGTCTGTTTAGTATTATATATAAATTATATATAAATTAGGTACTGTACATATAATTATATATTAATTATATATAAATTAGGTACTGTATATATAATTATATATTAACTTAATTTATTGTAACTTTATTATAATTATATATATGCTTTCTGCCGCCTGGCAACACGCTACGGAGATTTTAGGCTAGTAAGTTGAGTTTATTATCGTCTGTACAGTATGTAAATTAGGTACCGTAAGTCTAATACAGCACTAATTTTATACATTTCTTGTGAAAGAAACACTTCTTATTCAACGGCCATAAAAATTATTTATATTAATGATGTCTCCAAAGGTCAAGTTATTTTTCTGCGAAAAATTCGTTATCAGAAATCGCGGCCGCCGTTTCGTGTGCTGTTCCGCGACGAAGACAAGCTTTGAACAACGGGCGTAGTCGAATGGTGCACACTCGGTAAGTAATCCTATAATTTTTTGTTTATAGCATAGTTTATACAGATTATTCCCAAAAAATTATACGTGTTTTGGAAATGTTGAGTGGAATTAGTCTAGAATTGGTTAATTTTATAGAAGAAAACCTTTCAAACAGCCTTAGTCCGTAAAGTTTACACCTATCGGGCTGCGATTGGCTCATGTATTTAATCATTCCTACAACGTAAAATTCGATTAGCGTGGAACATATCTAAGCGTTATAGGGGGGTCTACTGTAATATATTTTGATGGTGAAAACCAAAGGCATGTAAATATCATTCTAAAGGATCAAAGTTCAATCTAGATTGTATCCTGAAGAATTTTTAGGATAGTCTGATTTGTTAGACCTCATCCATTATGGACTTGGCAAGCTCACAATGAACTCTTGGTGCATGCAGAACAAAAATATATATAACATAATAGTAATGGGAAATATTATTTCTCAGTTAAGTATTTGATGATGATTTTAAGAAATCTATAACATTTGGTATTTAAGTTAACAGTGATTTTACAGAATAAAGATAAAATTTGTCAAATGATCTGCCATATTATTGGGTTATAATAAAACTAGTCTATAATTAGATATAAACTTATTTGACTTGGGTAAGTGATTAGATCACTGTGATAATACTGCAGATCATTTGGCATTAATTAAATATTGGGTTTGTGAATTTATTTTGTATATGTATGTAAATATATATAAAATAGTTTTAATAATAATCTCTGCAATAAAATTAGTTTTATTAGAGATTTTTGGTATATTATTATTAAATTATACCCTAGGTTGTTCATTTCACATCAATGGATTATTCTACTTATATAATTTCTGAAAATTATGAAAATGTTGACATCAGTTCTGAGTTTTTTAAAATGATGTCTTATATAGTATTATTATATGTTATTTTTTCCCCAACTAGTTTCTTTTACTCGTAATGATGTTGGATTTCTCAAATGTTGGTGCTTTTCAGGTAAGCACCAATAATTTGGACTTTATAATGATGATGCTTCATACCAGAGAAATATAATAGTTGCATGTGTTTCATCTAATCTTCCTAATCAAACTAATTTGAATGAAGAGCATTCTATAGGGTATATGCAGCATGGCTACATTTATTGCCATTTTGCACGTTTCACTTAAATAACACATTTGTATTTATTAACAAATAGTGAATTTGTATACAATAACCTTTTAATTGTGCAGATGATTTTATATTGTAAATAAAAAGTATTGTTATCAAGTAATGTATAATTATCTACATTAGTTCTAATAAACAGTCAAAGATAAATTATTGTCTAGATCAGTGTTTCTCAACCTTTAAGGAATCGTCGCCCCTTCACTTCAAAATTCCAATGCCAAGGGACAAGGCTAACGCCAAATTCGTACTGCATTGAATAGACTAGTGACTAGTATAATGTTATTTGTTTAATTATTGTACGATATAACGAATAAAATATCTAATTATTCTTAATATGATGTTTTACTATATCGCCCAGAAAATTGTTTTTCGCCCCCCAAAATATAAATTGTTCCTAATTGCCCCCTCAACATGGAAAAATGCCCACATGGGGGCGATATCGCCCCCATAGAGAAACACTGGTCTAGATCATTAGTTCTCAACCAGGTTTCACAAACTTGCCGAGCTTCCCATGAAAAAAAAGTTAAGTTTTTATTGGCCGTTTATTCTAATGTACTCAATGTATTTCTTTACTCATAGATAATTCCAAGTTTACTACTTTATTCAATATTAAGCTTATTAGTTTTATTTAATTAATCTCATTAATCAAGGGATACCTGTAGTAAACATGGAATTGATTATAGATTTTTGAATATATTGTAGTTCCATGGCCTTAGAAAGGTTAAGAACCACTGATCTAGACAGTGAAGGGAGATTTATATTTTGATAATTTAAACTAGATAAAAAATTCTCTTTAGTAAAGTCAAATATTAAAATATAAGTTTATATAAAGTAAAAGATTAATAAATTAAATTTTAACTGAAATATTCAACTTTGGCTATTTGGTAATGATGATGTGGTAAATTTTTACTGTGATTAATTTCATTTCATTCAAAATAAATATTAAATTTACTAATATGTAAGTTATACAGCACATATTTTTTTTTCTTTTTTTTTTACTTAAACTATTAAATTCCATTATATTTTTGAGATATAAGGTTGTTAATAATCTACTTTATATTATTTAAAATAGTGTACAACACTGTTACCTTATTATTTTATCTAAAAATATAATTAAATCAATTGAGATTGTTATGTTTTTAATCTATTAATTTTTGTGTTATGTTAAATTATCATATAGTACATGAAAAATTTTCATTTAATCATAATATCATTTATGTTTCAACATGCTTTTTCAGTTAGTAGCATACTATACTAGTTTTCTAAACAATAATAAGCAGTATTTGCTTATTAAGATGTAAATGCAAAATCATTGGAGAATATTCAATCTATAATAATTTTAAAAGTTTGTAATCACTGAAATACATAAAGAATAAGAGGTAGGGCTGTTGAGAACTTGTATGGGGATCCTTTTATCATTAATATCATTTGTTCAAAAAAAAATTATATGAAAGGTTTCTTTTTTAACAAAAAGGGGGTTTTTAAGATTTTATTTTTTGTTAGTAAAAATAACATCAATATATGGATATGAATCACTTTCCCTAAGTTTTCTCTGAGCTCAGGGAAAATCCCCAGCTCCTCTTGACTGCCCTGCAAAGGGGATAGATACATTCTGGGACATAACAAGAGATCAAAATTTATTGTAAAGTCCACAATTCTTTGTGGGCAGTCCCATCCATTGAAAAAGCAGTTTGAAGCATCAACCTGACAGTTTTGTTTATTTTGTGAACATCTGAAACCCACTCAAAAATATGTTTGGTTTTGTATTTTAGATGATGATGACATGAACTTTCTTTGAATCTAGTTGTTTACATTCTATTTGATAAGCTTTATTCTAGTAAATAGTAAATGCTGACTAAGATAAAGTGAAAATATTGGAATGATCAGTATCATTTTTATGGTGTTAAGTTTAATAATGCCTGAATTGTTTTACATTAGTATTTCATTATTATATATGTTTTGCTGAATGTTATTGCATACGGATAAACATCATATTAATTTTTATATCATATACAGTAGAGTCCTGTACAATGCAGGGGATTCATTATGCATTACGGGAAATCGGGTTATCGAAACCTGCATTATCACATGATTTATGAAAGTTTAAACCTTGGCCTATAAGTTGAAAAAAAAAAACGCATACCTGTGATCGACATAATTTGAGGGCATTGCTTGCTTTATTTGCATGTTGTACGGGACTCTACTGTATTATAGATTAAAATGAAATTGCATTTTCAAAATTTATATTTCTCTCATTCAAAGTAAATATTATCTCAATGAGTTTTAAAAAATACATAAGTAGAATATTGTATTGTGTTTGTTAATTATAGATGCATCTTATAAATTAGTAGAGATTGATAACAAAAATTTATTTTTAATCTAAATCCAAAAAATAGTCATTATTATGACAAAATGCTTAAAATTATCTTAGGTCTCTTGATAAGCATTTTTTAATGCTTATCAAGAGACCATTTTACAATGTTAATGTTTACATGAACATAGTAAGATTGACCCCATCTGTGTTGCCACAACAATGGATTTTTGAGACATCATTTTAAGCAATACAGGTATTTTGTTTGTATTATTTGGGAGTAAAGTGTGATCAGTTTTATATTAGTACTTTAATTTACTTACTGAACAATTATTTTATATTATGCATTAAGTCTCTCATATAGCACTATGATACAAGGAAGTTTAGGAACACCAACATACAGTTTTCTGTTAAACTGCATTAATTTTTAAGCTTAAATTTCAATGTTGTATTTATGATAAAATACAAACTTAAAAATCTATATTTGATTGTACAAATACAATAGAAATACTTTTAAAATTGACTATGGCATCAGAAGTTTGCAGATTAGAAAAGAGTACAGGTAGCCCTTGGTTTACGCTGCAGTTCCGTTCCTACAAAAGCCAGCGCAAATTGAATCGGCGTAAAATGAACCCATATTTACACTGAGGTATAGGGTTAGGTTCCACATAAGTGAAAAATATGCAAATACAGTAATTTTGTTTATTAATACAATATAATACAAAGTACAAATAAATTTAATTTTTAAAATGTATTTTATCATAAAATAAAGTTAAATGTTTTTATTAAAAATTTTAGTTTCGGATCTCTTACATTTTTCGGAAAAAGTATCCATCTTTAATTGTTTACATTTTTGTTTTCTTTCATTGAGAATTTCGGAATATGGTCGAATGGATGCGACGATGCTCCTTTTTACATTCGCACTTCGCTCCCAATCATTGTCTAACTCACAAAGTTCAACCGTCAAACTTTCCATAGTTGAAAGGATACGTTAACCCGACGTAGAGCTACGGACGAGCGGAGACACTGATTGGTCGACCACCGGTCGCCGTAGCGCATATGTAAGGTCAGTTTGAGCGGGAAAATTAAGGAGAGATAGATATCGTCTGGCCAACGAGAAGTAGATTTGTCTCACTAACGATAGTTTGTGATCGCCGGAAGTGCTACTGCGTCGTAAGGTGTTTTCCTGAACGAACTGATACGGGATAAATTCAATGGCGCTATGGATTCGGACGCCATTTATTGGACTATTAAGTTTGATAACTTGACTCGTGGGTACCTAAACGTTTAGTATTTTAATATTAATTTAATGCAAATGTATACATACCCAATAATATTAAACAGAAAAAATAAATATATTCAATAAAAATCTTTGTTTTAACGAATGTACAATGTCGCGGCTCGGTAAATACGTCAACACTGAAACGAAAATCAGTCTGGCATAGGGAAAATCGGGGAATTACACAGCAAAATCACAAATTGTGCAGCGGCGTTATTGTGAATCGGCGTAAATTGAACCGGCGTAAACCGAGGGCTACCTGTATATCAGAATGCAGGACTCTATATGCATTGTTGAGTGTTTTATTTCTTTTCAACCTGTATGGATATATTTTGAATTTAAATCTTAGTCAAGTAAAAATTTGAGATAACACAAATTTCCTTTATATTTTAATAATTTTTGTCTTTACTGTTGCAAGAGAGCTATGAACTTGGTTAATGTCCATAAACAACTCACATTTCTTATGGTGCCAAAATAAAATAAGAAGCAATCTGCCTAAGTAGCTATTTAAAATAATATGTTTTCATATTGATTGGATTCTAATGGATTGTGTGTACTCAAGAATAACCAGTTAATCATTGCATTTCCAGTTTAAACTATTGTAAACTTCAGAGTTAGCATTTTTTTTAAAATTTGTATCAATATGGTTTCTCCTTATGTGTTTTTCATGAAATAAGTAAAATTTAAGCAACAACATAACTGATACATAGTATGTAATTTTCTCAAAAGTTGATTATACTATTTTCAAAGCCTTCACTATGTGTACAGGAAAAAGATTTAAATGTGACAGATATGTACTGTACATACAATACATAAATGCACTTGAGTTTACATTCACCCGATGATGTACTGTACACTGGATGAAGTGTAAGTTTGCATTATCTGTATACAGCCGACCCCCCCTATAATACTGTTGATAATTCCGTTTTATATGAATTCCATGTTGTAAAATCTAAGTGACTCGTACAACATGGAATTCATATAAAATGGAATTATCAACAGTGTTATAGGGGGTCAACTTGTATACTATTTTATAAAATGGACAATATTGCTTTTATTTTTTCATTTGTTGTGACTTTTTTACAATATAATCTCTCAACTTTTTCTCCTATAATACATTTAGTGTTAAATATCTACTTTAAACACAATGTAAATTATATCGTGCTGTAATATAACAAGATATTTAATTAGTAAGGCTAAATTTCTAGACACTAAAAATCATTAACAATTTTATTAGTTTAACTATTTATATGCCTAGATATTCTAGCTCTATACTTATTGATACTGAGTCTTATAAATTGAAAATATAAATAATTATTTCAGATCCTATTTACCTGTTTACTTAGCTAATATTTTGAATATATCTCATCAATCAAATTTAATTCAAGATTATTAATTTTTAAAACTTATGTATATAGGAGGCATGCAATTAAAACCCAGCCACAGTGAACATACAAGCAATATTCAATCTGGCAGATCGGCAATTTTTCTTCACGGTGGAATGGACACGCAAGGCAACATTTTCGATGACTTTTTTATATATCTTATTTAGAACATTTTTCAGTGTAAATGATAATTTTTTTTATTGTTGCATGAATTTTTTTAAAAAGTGATTATTTAAATAAAAATTAGTATTATTATAATGATAATAATGCGTTTGCTGTCTTCATTTAGTTGGTTTATATAACAACAAAAGTATCATCACCTTATTTCATATAATTATTTTTTGTACTACAGACTAATTAAAGACATGATTTAAAATTTTAAGAACATATATCTTGTGTATTCTGAAATCGTGTCTTCTTTTAGCTGTTTTTATCTTCATGACTAGGTGCATAGACAGACACGGCATTTCTACATCATCTTTATTTAGAATAGCCTATCGACCTATAGGATATTCCGAATAAAGATAATGTAGAAATGCCCTTTATCTATGCACCTAGTTGTAAAGATAAAAAAGAACATCTCTTATCTCGATTTTTATAATCTTCATGACTTTAAAATCAAAATTTATTTTACAACTATAAACACCAACAGAAAATGTTAATTTCAATCATCATACAATGCTTTATTTTATATTATCAAACTAGATGTTTGTTCAAAATATTCTTCAACTGTATAACTTTATTAAATAACTTTGATAAATTTGCATTGTAATGGTGATGCATTCATTTTGATCTTTTATGAAAAGTAATAAGTGCTAGATTAATTTGATGTCTGACAAATGATTTCAACAATGGTGAGAAGTAATTGAAAACTTGCATATCACAGTGCAAACAAATTCCTTTAACCGATATTCCTTATCTCACAACATTGAGATCAGAATGCTAAAAGATCCATTTCCACGTGCAATAATTAAAACTATGTGTAAATAATTTGATTGTGTTGAAAATCATATTTCACTTTGTTGTATTATAATCCAAGTAATTATTAATTAAATCTTATATTGAGCCAGTGCTTGATGATCATATACATACACACTGTATAATTCTCTTCAAAAGTTGCTTCTTGATCTATCCAAGAAACAACTTTCTATTGGATTCCTTCAAAACACCATGAAAGCTTGATTTGTGCACATTAATCAGTTGATTTCAGTTCTTGCACAAATTCAGCTGATGATGATAAACACACTGATAAATATGGTACTGCTGATAATACAGAAAGTTCACTCCCACCAATATGAACATCCTGGACCTCATATACAGTACAATACTTTAGCGATAGTTCAAATATCCTTCAAAATGAAACCATCAAAACAGTTTTGCACTACCCAATGCAACATACAATCCTTTTGTCCCAAAAAAAGTGAGTGTATGGTGTGCAGTACTGCAGAGAACAAAAAAGGTCATTTTATTCTATTCAACTTAGAATGCCAAGTTGTAACAACAGGATCTAGTTACCCAACTTGTCTTCTGCTAGCAAAGAAACAAATACTGGTTCTGGATCCAGCAAGATGGGGCACACATGCCATAATTCCCATGGAAATAGTTATGATGACATGCTGTAATTCTATAATGTGCTAAAAACCTTTTTTCAATGACTAGGATCCATCTGAACATCTGCTGGATTTTTTCCTTTGAAAGTGTGTTTATAAGGATAAGCTGAAAACTGTAAAACATCTAGAGATTAACATATACTATTTTGGAAATCCTGAATAGTATGTTATACATTATGTTAACAAGGAATGACACATGTAGGCCATAACACTACTACTTACCATCCTCTATTAAAGATAATTTTTGAAATTAGGGTTTCCTGACTGACTCTATAAACAAATACAACTGCTGTTTACAGAAATTCAGTAAAAACAATAAATATTTGTTTTAAATTATATACAAGGCAGAAATAATCTTTAAAAACAATAAAAACTAAAACCTTAAAAATTGTTGATGTTTTATTTTTTCACTTCCTTTTACCAAACACAAAGAACTAAGGAAACACAAAACAGAAAAATATTCTTTTTATTTTTCAAAACAAGTTATGCATTTCCGGTGATTTTACAAAAAAATTCTTTTACACCTCTCTTCAGGCTGTAAACAAAAATATATAAATATAAATGCATTAGCTTGCTTTGAGATTATTTAAATTTATATTCTAAAAATTATATTCTGTAATTTATAAAGTAGAATGTAAATTTAAATACAGTCGACCCCCCTATAATTACGGTCCCAATAATTACGATTCCTATAAAACTGCGAAAAAATTGTGACAGTATCCATAAAAACAGTAAAAACCCCCTATAATTACGTTAAACGTCATCGGGCAGCCAAACTACTTTCCCGCTGTCCGTAGTGCCACGCTACGGAGAGATTTCTATCATCTGGACAGTATTATATAAATTAGGTACTGTACATATAATTATATATTAATTATATATAAATTAGGTACTGTATATATAATTATATATTAACTTATTGTAACTTTGTTATAATTAAATATATAATTTCCGCCGTCTAGCGTAGCGCCACGCTACGGAGATTTTTACGCTAACTATCGTCTGTACAGTATGTAAATTAGGTACCGTAAGTCTAATACAGTACTGTAATTTTATACATTTCTTGTGAAAGAAACATTTCTTATTCAACGGCGATTAAAATTATTTATATTAATGATGTCTCCGAATTTCAACAAAGTTTTCGCAGAAAAATAAGTTATCAGAACTCAGCCGTGGTTTGGTGTGCTGCTTCGCAACGAAAACAAGCTTTAGCAATGGGGTTGTCGAATGGTGCGTACTCGGTAAGTAATCCTACAATTTTTTGTTTATAGCGTAGTTTATACGGATTATTTCCAAAAAATATATACGTATTTTGGAAATGTTGAGTCGGATTAGTCTAGAATCGATTAATTTTATGGAAGAAAACCTTTCAATCAGCCGTAGTCCGTAAACTTTACACGTGTCAGGCTGTGATTGGAATGACTCGTAAGAAATCGGATTCCTAAAAAATGGAACGTATCTATGATCTTATAGAGGGGGGGGTCGACTGTAATCTCAAAGCAAACTATACATTTATATTTATATATTTTTGTTTACAGCCTGAAGAGAGGTGTAAAAGAACTTTTTTGTAAAATCATGGGAAATGCATAGCTTGTTTTGAAAAAGAAAAATATTTTGAGTTTTCCTTTTAAGTACTTTGTCTCTAATAAAAGGAAGTTGAGAAGTAAAACAAAGGTTTTAAATTTTATTGTTTTTAATAAGTTTCTGTATTCGAAGAATTGCAAGCAAATATTGTAACTAAAAGAAAAAAAATCCTTGTGAATAATATGTATGAAAGTAAGGTGCTAGTAACTATATATAATGTGGGAACAAAGTCCCATCACCGCTATAAAAAATTAAATATATATATTCAATTTAAATAAAAAACACATGGCTGATGGTATTTACATTTAGTAAAAAAAATGGCTTGACAGTATTTACATTTATTGTTTATTTATTATTTTTACTTAAATTTATTATTATGTAGTGGCAGGAGCACCAGAGGACGCTTTGCCATATTTTGCATTTTTTATTGCTGAGGCAGTAGCCTTAAAAGGAATGTTGTCTCCTTATCTTTGTGAATTTTTATGGACTGCTGATGGTATAAAACAACAGAAGAGAAACGGTAGCAAAGGTTCTATCTTTGTGAAAAAGTTGTATTTATATTTATTGTATATTTATTAAATATACAGTAGAGCATCGATTATTTGAATATAAATCAACCAAAATGTCAATTAACCAAAAGCTTTCCAGTCAGTAAATTTAAATTTTCACTAGTGCTGTGGTGCTGTAATCTTTGTCTATGTCTTGGGCTACTCCAATATTATTTTTGTTGGTGCACGTTTTAGCTGGCAACACTGGCGCAACCATGAGAGGGTACTTAAGGATGTGCCAGATTTGAACGAGTTTCAACATGGGATAGGTTAATGTATTTTTTCGTACATAATCGGTTATCTGAAAAATCTATTTCCGAACAACTCCAGTCCCCAATTGATTTGGATAATTGATGCTCTACTGTATTCCATTTATTGTTCGTTTCAGATAAAGGACATGAAAAATGGCCAATTCAAGTAACTACACTATTGAATACTGTATAATCACTATTCGTTGGGTTTCTAAAAGGAAAAGAGAGGAAAACAATGGAAGAGATGCATGCAGACTTTTAGCAAAGATTTGGACAACAGACTCCTTCAAAAAGAGTGCTTTTTTGGTGATAACATAAGATTTTTACAAAAGATAATGAAGGGTTTGTCACTTCTTCAATTATGTGTGAAAAACATAGTGAATAAGTTGAAGAGTAAGTATTGAAATCAATCCAGAAATGTTCTGTGAAACTGTGTACATCCCAAATGACAATGTGTAAGCTTATTCTTTGCACTACCTGTTGTAAAAATCTTATGCTCCCATCAGAAATTTTTTATTTTGCAGAAGGTTGCACACACTTCCATTGTTTTTGTTTCTTTCCCTTTTACCTAGAAATCCAACAACTAGTAATTAAGTATTCTTCAATGGTATTTTTACTTGTATAAGCCATTGTTCATATGATTAATATTTTGTGCCTGCCCAATGCTTACTACCACATCAGAATTATTGGTTAGCACTAAAGCCTTATATACATAACAGTTTCAATAAGAGAAATTAAACATAAATTCACAAAATATTTTGATATATTTAGTTGCTAGAAAGTTGTATCATTATCTATATCAGTGTTTCTCAACCTCTAACGAATCATTCACTTCAAAATTCTGCTGAGGGCCAAGGCTAACTCCAAATTCGTACAGCATTGAATAGTTATAATGTTTTGTTTAATTATTGTACGATATAACGAATAAAATATCTAATTATTCTTAATATAATGTTTTACTATATTGCCCAGAAAATTGTTTTTGTCCTCCAAAATATAAATTGTTACTAATTGCACCCTCAACATGGAAAAACACCCACATGGGGGCGATATCGCCCCTGTTGAAAAACACTGATCTATATTAAAATTATTAAGCTAACTGATTACTTTACTTTCAATACAATTATCAAAAATAACAGGAAAATATAAATTAGTTTCTTATGAATATTCAAACTGTAAGGCATTTTCCCACAAACAATTGTGTACAATCATTTTCTTATTAAAAAGTCATTGATAAACAGAAACACATTTTACTTTATTACAATTATTTGTTCCAGTCAAATACAAGATAATTAAGACTATATACATAATGTAAGCCATGAAATTTTTGCACTTGGTTGAGAGATCCATCATCACAACCATGTGATAAAATAAGTACAGGATTGTGATTTTTTTGGTATTATGTACTAAGTCCAACAGTGTCAAACTAATTCCAAAACCTAAAACAGAAATTTGTTCTATACAATTTAATCATTTTAAAATTTTAAATTAAATGAAATGAAAATTTATCTTACTTTGATTGTTCCTTGACTGTTTGCAGCAACAACTACATTTGAACCCTAAACAAGCAAAGTTTACTTAAATACTGTAGTAAAGAAAAATAATTTAAGAGAGCAGAAAATATAAATGTTCTTACCATCCTCCAACAAACAGCACTGACAAATTCACTAGTATCATCATCTTTTCTATCTTTTTCCTTTTAAAATAAAAATATAATTTAAACAGAGTGAATAATTTAAAGAAATTTTACTTATATTATTAAAACAAATGTAATTTTCATTTCATAAAGCTCTTATAGTAAAACCTGGTTATTAGAAAAATGTTTAATATGTTTTATTTTCTAGGCCCCATGTAATGAAATGCTATTTTCTTTGAACCTGGTAAAATCACAAAAATGAATAAATGAAATAAAATACCATTCAATAAATTTAGAAATATAAACATATACCCAGAAATAAATTTCAAACTCTCCATTTATGACTGTTGTCTTTAACAAAGCAACCCTTCTTCATCTATAAAACTGTGGATAGTCATAAGGGAGAACGCATGAACAATTAGAAGCAGCTAAACTTCTTACTCTTAAACAGTTTTTAAGAGTTGTAGGAATAATGGGCCAATTTAAAATTTAAATGTCAATGAATTTCATTTGGTTTAAATATAACTTCAAATCATTTAACAAAACTGATTTTTTTAGGTTCCTGTCCCCTTAACATTCAGAAACTGAAATTATGCTTTTTATTGGTTGCAAATTTCAACTGTGAAACAATTTTGAACTTAAAATTTTGGGGGATTAATTTTCAAATTTATGCTGTGCCTAATTAGAAAAAAATTCAGCAAAAAACAAATGCTTTTAATCATTCCTCAAATATTTTTGTTTTTGAGGAGTGATTAAAAGCATTAAATCGTAACATTGATTCAACACAGCACTCTTTCCAGCACATCCAATACAAAACATAATAGAATTTTTTTCCATTCTTTAACCATTAGATCTTTCTTTATATGTTATGCTATTGGAAAGAGAAGAGAAAAGAAACTAAAATCAACCTTTCACAGGTTAGTACAGTAGATTTATCTGATAGTAGTTGATAAAAATATTAAACAAGAAATTTATGAGTGATTTGGAACTATTAATATATGAAATACAAAACAATGTCAACAAACTAAAATACAATAAATTATGGTAAACAGTAAAGTAAAATAAAATACAAAGTTTTTCTTGTGAGTATAATCATCATCCAATATTATATCCAGTACATATAAAGCCAAATAAATAGTTTTTGTCATTCTATTCTAATGGTGAATGAATTTTTTTTTATTAGGTACGTATTTATACTTCAAATACAGTAAATAAAATTATTTCATATTAGAAATTTTTTGTGAATTTTAACAAAAAGTCAATATATTAAAATACAGTAGAGCCTCGATTATCCGACCCCCGATTAACCGTCACCTCGGTTAACCGACCGTCCTAGTCAGCAAATTTCAAATGTCCGCTAGTGATGTGGCGCTACAATATTTGGCTATGTCTTGGCTACTGTAATATTATTTTTACGTGTTTTAGCTGGCAACACTGGATGGACCATGAAAGGGAGCCAGAGGCTTAATTTTCTAATTTTTAATGATACAATAGCGACGATTATTATTTTAAAAAATTTTGTTAGGCTTAACATCGATGAAAATTCGACGGGAAGTAGGTTAATAGCAATATACTAATTACATGGGATATAATAATATACTACACTAATAATGGATTTTTTCATACTTTTCAGTTATCCGACTTTTTAATTATCCAACCAACCCCAATCGGGTCGGATAATCAAGGCTCTACTGTATCTCTAATTCATCTTAATAGTGCCATCTACTAAGGAAAATTTTTAACATTTTGCCTATTTAGATGGATGAGAAAAATACAAATAAAGTCGATTCCACTTTAAGAATGTTATTTTCCTGGATTTGACCTTTATTTGTAGGATTCTCATCCATCTAAATATGCAAAAATGTTAAATTTTCGTTAGGAGATGGTACTATTGTGAAAAGAAGATAAAATATCTTTAATATATCTGTCTTTTTGAAAAATTCACAAAAGCTTCTAAAGCAGAGCTGCCCAATTCATTTTGGAGGCAGGTTATAATTTCAATTACATGTCACCCAGTGGGCCACCTAGTGAATCATACTTGCTTACACTCATGATTCTTCTATAAATGGATAGGTATTGAATCAAACAAAGCTTTAAGTTGCACATGTTTTAATCATACCTAATAAAAAAATACATCAATGAGACCTATGAAGGGGTTTATTAGCTAATAACTTTTCAATATTTGGTGACAACAATTCAATTTTAATACACAAAAGTCGACTCAAAACTAATAGAACAAGTGTAATAAATGTGTAGGTTAGGTATTAACAGTGGTGTGGCAGTGGCTCAAGACATAGTTCATTCTGCATTCGATCAATCACGTGGTGGTTGACATTATTGGTGACAACTGACCACTACTGTGGGTGGGCAAATTCAAATGTGTTGGCGGGCCATGGGCCTGAGTTTGGGCAGTCTTGTTCTAAAATATAAACTTTTATCAAAATCACTTCATTTATATACTTTTCCAACATAACATTATATTAGGTATAATTATAAAGATGCTTAAAATTGATATTTAGTCAATTTATACATAAATGATAGTGAATTAACATTTATGTGTAAGGGGAGGCTCATCTGTAAAGATAGGAAGTTTCCAGTTATATGCTTTTTCAGACTGTCCCTTCAAAAACAATAATAATTTTACTGTATATACAATTTGTGATAGAATTCTGTGTGTAAACCATCAAAAAATTTTGGTGTGTGTGTCTGTGTGTATAAATTGTGTACAATATGATTCTCATATATTACATAAATTCTATAAGAAAATTAATTTTTGATATCAGACACGGAATAAGCTAAAATGGAAGTTATACAATTTTAGTTAGTATTCCTCTCAGATACCCAATTAAATAACATTATTCACTTAAATTTAAAAAAAGTGGATGTCACATTCTGTTTTTGATATAATAATAGAAAGGTAATTTACACAGATAAAAATATACTGCCTGAATAAAATTGAAACATTAAAAACCATGTTTTTAAGCTGTTATACCTCTTCCATAAAAATGGAAATGAAATGGAACATCTTATGTACCCTCTGAATGTCATAATCATTGACAATAGTATTAATTTGCAATTTAAAGTCAAATTGAAAAAACTGTGGTTAAAGAATTATAAGTACAGGAGCTCTCCTACTTACAAATTAGATTCCAAAGGTCAAAAACTAACTTAGAAAGTACATTTGTACACAGAAGAACTAGAGAGATTGCAGCCAAAGTTCAAACATTAAACTTGCACAGCAAGCAGAAGTACACCTTTCACATTTAAACTCCAAGCAAAACATATTGCACCCATGTTCACATCGCACACTGATTCATGGGATATTGTGGAAAAATGGCAGAAACATTCAAGAGCAACAAAGGTTACAAGCAAAGGTAAATAAACAAATTAAAACTATTTCTAGAAATTTACAAACAAATTATGCTGTTGACAGTAGATGATGCTGTGAAAGAACAAATCTGTTTCTACAGTGTTATAATAAGCTGTTATGAACACAAATATATAAAAATTCCATAGACACTTCATATCGCTTGCAAAAAAATTAAATAATTTTGGGATTAAAAATGTCTGTTTCTTTACAATGCTATTCATAAATGCTTAAATAGTCATAATTTTAACCCAAAACACAGAAAAATGCAGATGTTTAAGCCAAACTTCTTCTTGCCATGCTTGATGTTCCAAATGGTATTGTCAAACTTCTAGGCTTACAAGATGGCAGCGCTCGATGTTCACATTTTAGAGACAAAAACTTTGGCCACAATCTCTCTACTATGTATTGTTAGTGTTTGATCCTTCAATATACTGAACAGAATACATTAACTTGTTCACCCACTTGCAACTGCTTAGTAGCAGATGTTACAAATACAGTTTTTTCAATGTTTGCAATTCTACAAACTACCCCAGGTTGGGAAATACTGTAGAATCTTGATAACATTTGCATTTTAGAAAAATATTTGACAACATATTTATGCTCATCATTGTTTCAGTTTCTATGACGTAGTTTTAATGACTAAAACTGAACTAATTAAGAGATGGTAATAAAAAGAGCATGTTTTCAAAATAACAAAATTTCAGAACTTTTTAAATGAAAACATATGGATAGCTGGATGGCCAAGATGACAAAGGATTCAGTCTCTGTCACTCTGGATGATTTTGAACTGAATCAGTACAAGTTTGTCCCATACAAATTAGAACTTTCATTCATTACTCAGCCATCCCCAGTGTGGGTCTGGCCAAACTCATGTATATGATTAAAAGGTCCTATTATAGTCCACTGGCAGAATGAGAACATATGTATAAAATAAAATTGCTTTACAATAAGAAATTGATTAAAGTTTCCTTTTATTAATAATTGACTAACTGTTTTAAAAATTTCTCTTGAACTAACTGTGATATACAGAACACTTGTCATTTGACAGACAGTAGAATATCTAAATTTTAATTTAAACACAAAGTATTTTGTAATATAAGTTCATTTTTTACATAGAAAATTTTGATTATTTTAAAAACTTGTTTATCTGATTAAACTTATAATAGCAGCAGCAGCATTTAGGATTTTTACATTTATGCTCTAAGAAAAAATTAAACAGAATTTGAAAATTAGATGAAGCCAATCAACACCAAGAAGTCTTCCTTTATAGAGACAACTTTTTAAGCTAGTAATAAAAAATCATTGCTGTAAGGAAGACTCTGAATGGAAATGTGAAGATGCATTTAATTTCTTATACATATTTTTAATGTGTAAAATACTGTCAGCCATTTTAATTATGAATTTGAAAACATTTGATCAGTCAAATATTAATTATTACAGTTCAATGAACAACTGAAATTTTTTTATTTTAAAACTAAAAATTTTAAAAACATTTAAGAAAGTTACTTACAAGAACACTTCTGACTGTATCAAATCTAAATGTTAAAACTTGTTTTGACAAACCCTTATAATATATGTACAAAGCGTTGTTTTCACTTCCTGAAGAAAAACATTTAAAAAAATCAATTTTGTTATAATTCAAGAATAATAAATTACATACAGTGTAAATAATATACAGTGTAAAAAATACATTAGGAACTAATTTATATATTAAAAAGACATGGCTTTAATTTTGGTTTTGAATGCAATTTTTCAGTCTAGAACAGTGATTCTCAAACTTTTTCGATCCACCCCCCTTTGTTCCATAAAGTTATACCCAACGCCCCCTAACCCATTTTCTCTTGTGAGAGAAAAGGATTGGAAATATTCTTAGGAAAACTTTTCTATGAATCTCACACTTTGTGCCCTTACTGTACATTGTTCTCATCATCTGGAAACCATTAAACGCAATGTTTCCTCTTATCAGCCCCAATTTTGCCTTTGGTCACCGTTCAATACCCTGCCTCTATCATAGATCTATTCATCGCACCAGAAGGGGGCGTTATTGCTTACTTTGAGAAACGCTGAGCTAAAATAAAAGTCAATGTGTTAGAAATATTCAAGTTGTGACCTTCAATAAAAAATATATAAAATGTCAACATTTTATATATATTCCGTCGAATTTTTATATATAGAATTTGTCTGCCGTCGCCCCTCTATACTTCCTTAACGCCCCCCAATTCTCTTTGAGCCTTCTACTGCCCCCCTGAAAGCCTCCAGCGCCCACAAGGGGGCGTTATCGCCCACTTTGAGAAACGCTGGTCTAGAAGATTAATCTCACTTTGACAATTATTCAGAAATCAATTTGATTATTCAATCTGATTTTCAATTATTTAAAGTCTGATTTTATAAAGATTTAGAGATTCCGTAACTTTTTATTTAAAGCTGATACTTACCACAAGCAATATAATCACCATCAGTTGCTAAACCAACAAAATTCTTTTCGTTCAGATGACCTTTAAAGGAACGGAGACAATGTGGCTTATCAACATTCCACAGTTTAAGCTGGCTGTCTGTGGAACTAAATTATAAAAACAAAATTGTATTTTTATAGAAATTATTTCTGAAATAATTCATTATTGAGTACTTACGCTGAAACAACCTCTGTTGGATTTAAAAATTTAACATATGATACAGCTTTTTTGTGACCTTTAAATACACCTAATGGCTGCTTTACATTCCTCAAATCATAATAATGTACACAGTGATCTATAAGAAGAAAAACATTGAATATAATCAAATTTCATACAATACTTTATACAATTACAAAAAATGTTTTGAAAAGATTTAATTCTTAAAAATCATCATCATATAATAATAATTCCATAATTATGCAAAAATATAATTGGAACTTTCATGAAAAGTTCATAATTTAAAGTAATCTTTAATTAATCAAGTGTAAAGTAATCTGCATCAATCTGATTCAAAATTCTTTAAATTGGTTTTAAGTTTACAACATTCAAATTACAATATTAAGTTTACAAGTTATTAATAACTTTCATTCACAATGCCAGCTTGATGATCATTTGCACCTGAGACAAAACTGACTTTTGCCACCCACTTCCAGAATAGCTGTCAATAAAGAGCACTTCTAGCCAGGACTATTAAGGAAAGCTGGGATTTTTCCCCAGGTCCAGAGGAAACTGAAGGGCCCATAGTGTCCTATAAATTATTATTTTTACTAACAAAAAATAAAATCTTTAATACTGCTTTTAATTAATAAAAAAGCACTAATTATGCATTTCACTTGTTAAAAACAAAAAAAAAAAGGCAAAAGGGGCTTGCTTTACCCTGGACTCCATATGAAGCTTTTGACTGCATTATACTAATAGTACTGGCACTCTTGTATCAGTTATTTGCAAAGAACTATAAGTACATTTATGTCTCAAACTTCTCTGCATTTGGCTTTTTATTTATTTATTTCTCCTTTTGTACCTGTCTCATTTTTCCATTTGAGGCAGTCTCTTCATCACCTCATCCTTCAAGCCAGCCAGCATATTCTAAAACATATCAGCTAAATTATTCATATTAAAACAATTAGCTAAATTATACTATGAAACTTTGCTTATTATTATTATATTATATTTGTGTTAACAGTACAAGGCATTTTTAAGTTCTCCAAGTTATTGTTATAGTTACATGTTGAAGCTGATAACTGATAATGATTGCCATGTTAACATTCTTAACTTGTGCTTAATGTTAAAACATTATACTGCAAACAGGAACAATCAAGTTGCTGGCATTTCTTGCTTCAACTGTATGCTAGCTGTGATTAATTAAAAGTGGTAGCAGGCTGTAGAGAACTGAATCAAAGATAAGAAGAAAACCAGTAATCTTCAAATGCATTTCTGCATCACCTAATTTTCAAAAATTGATGTCTTTCATACCTCTTTTTTTATTTTTAGGTCTACCTACTTTACCGCATGCTTCACAATTCTCTGCCACGATTGCAAAATAATAAACTATATGCAGCCATATGCTGTGCAATCTTCTGGTTTCATATTTGTATTTTTTCAGATTGAGATTTAAATAATGTAAACCAACAATAAAATCATAATAATATATTCGATTTTTGTAAATCAATGATAGATGGTGCTACATTCTTAAAATGTCCATGTTTAGGAATGATGGCTACATTGTCCTTAGTTATAAAACTCTATATTATAAAAAATTTGACGTTTTTGAGATATTGGAATTTTTCTAAAAAGTTCTGTGTAAAAGCCAAGTATAATTTCAAGTGTACAGGAGTCTTCAAAGTGGATAAACAATTCTGGATGTACAACCACAAACTGAATTTTATATATTGTATATGAGAGTCAGTAGGAAAGTAAGGTCTGATTGGTATTAAGACAAACCCAACACTAAAAGTACCAAATAAAATATTTCTAGTCTATTTTTACACAATCACCATTTTTCAATGCATTTTTTGTAGCAAAATATAAGCTTTTTGATGCCACTGCCAAAGAAACTTTCTGCTTATGAATGCATCAGCTTTCTACAGTCTCTTTCAGCTCTACAACTGTATTAACTTCCCATCCAAAAATGACCTCAAATAAAGAAACAAATGATAATCGTGGGTGCAAGATTTGGTCTGTATGGTATCTGATCAAATACTTCCTACTTGAACTTCTTGATAATATCTTTGGTGTAATTCAGTGTGGGGACAGACATTGTCATGAATATACAGAATGATAAAATATTGTGAATATAAGGAGAATGATTCAAAATTGAATCATTCTCCTTAATATTTGGAGAATGGCACAGTAAGTTTCAGAAGTTACTGTTTCCATGCAGCAAAAATTCACCAAGTAGAATGTTTTCAGTCCCAAAAGACAGTCAGCTTGATCATCTTTGCAGAAAATGTTGCCTCAAATTTTCTTTTGGTTTCAGGGAACCAGAATGCATCCACTACAGACTGACTTGCTTTAAATGTTTTTGTATGAAATCCACATCTCAAGTTGTCATTTTCACTAATGTGTCATTGAAGAACAACCGATATCAGTCAGAATTTTTGGTACCCATCTTGCACAGACTGTGGGACTGTAGTTTTGTTCATCGTAATTTCATGAAGCACAGGGCAAATAGTTGAGGAAAATATTCAGCTCTAATTGTGAACCCCCAGTTCTCCCAAATTTTCTGCTTCACTAATTGCACAATTGTCACTGGTCACTATCATGGGATGTCCACTCCTATTGTTATGGACATTTGTTCAACCACTAAATTTATAGTACCACTGTCTAACTTTGGATCTAACGTGATGAGCAGCTCTAAAGACATCACACAATTGATGATGAATTTCAACAGCAGTCAGATTTTTCATCTCGTCTTGTTAATATTGTTAAATGTTATCAGTATAAATTAGTCTCAAAGTCATTATAATATACCCATGGTGGCCAAATTTCAGCTCACAAATTACATGTGACTCCTAAATTTAAACAAAAATTTTTTTGTCTTTTATAAACTTGATACATACTACTTACACTTATTATATTTTTGTAAGTTTGCTGACTATTTTGTAGTGTGATATACAAAGTTTCTAGGAATAAATCACAACTTAACCTTAAACAGACTGTAAGGAACAAAGTCCGAGCTTTATTTTTATTTTACTTTTATTTTGCTTTTATTATATTTTTGTTTGGGGCTTATGTTTAGTTAGAACGAAGGTTTCCTCACCCATCACCCCAGAATGGTCAAAACGAGAAGATAAGGGATTAACCAACTCACTGACGACGAAACGACAGCGCCATAGCTAGAATTCGCACTCACGTGCACGCCCGAGCGGCAGAATTGTAAGTCTGCACTGAAAGGGGGACACCCCAATAGACTTTTTAGGAACTTGTGTAACCTTTAACTAAACATCCCGATAATTGTTAAAGAAATGTTGTAAAAGGTTAACAAAGTATTGTCGAGAAATAAGCTACTGGATAACGAAGAGAAAACAAGAATGTTACGCGTAGATATGTAAATGAGGGGAGTGTCTCAAGTAGAACTGTGACATCACCTCAGACTATAAGTACAGTAACTCAAGTGAAGACAGATGAGGTGAGCTCCTGAACCGAAAGCGTTGGTCTGCTGGTAGCAGTGAACAAGGTGTTGAATAGGAAATCCTAGTAGGAAATTGAAGGTTCGATTTTGACGATAAAAAAAGAGGGAAGTCTTGAGTGGAGGAAAAAGGTTCCGAGTATTAATTGAGGTGACAGTTAGGATCGATAGTTATAAGAGAATTTGTAACTAAGTTAAGATTGAATTTTGTTTTGTCGGAATTCCAAGGGGAATAGTTTCTAAGTTAGAATAAGACTTAAGTTTGTCGGGTTGATTGTGATTTTTTATTTAATAAATTTGTTGTTTGTTTCTAAAACTTGTACATAGTATTTGTTAAACTTGATTAAACAGTTATTGAGAGATTTTTTTTGTGACTAACTTTGTCCTTACTTTATTTCGGTGCACGCGAAAAGTCCAGGCCTGGCAACTAACAAACGCAAACCCGCGTAAAGTACCCGTTAGGTCCCGGCTCTTTAAGAAAAATTCGTTGTAGAGCAAAACACTAAATATAGTACTTTACAAGACAACTGAAAGCTAAACTAAACAGTTATTGTCCCAACTATAAATCCATAAAACCTTCTATATGTAAGCAATACAAACATTCGTATGTATTTAGAAAATAAGAAATATAATTACATTATAGTATACCTATTTTCTTAAAGATTTTTATAGTCTTCATGCACCTCTCAAACATAAAATTCTTAACCTAACGAAACAGAACTAACAGAACAGAACTTTATTGTTCTATATCACTGTTTTGTTTAAAAATTGTTTTTGTATGTTTAACAATTGTATGTAAAAAAAACTATAGTATTTTAACTAAATATATAAAATATCATTCCAATAGAGGATCAGCTCTTGCATATTTCTGATATCATGATAAGAGCCATGCATTGACTAAGATTATACAATAGAATCTGCTTATCGATTATTTATAACAAAATTTAATATTAATTCATGTGATGAGCTATCAGTAAATTACAATCAGAGAATGATCTGTATTAGTTCTACATAAAATAAAATATTTTTATGTTCAAATCAAAAATTAATTTAAGATAAGATTTAAGTTCATATTTTATTTACTACATTTTAATTTAAAAATTAGAAAAAACTATTCAATGACTTTCATTTTATGAAAGAGTTAACAGAATTAAACAGTATTAATATGATATTTACTCTATTTTTTCATTTTTTTAAAATAAAACTTTAAAATTTTAATGCTTTAGTTTAACAGTTAAAGTTTCAGTCCATCACTCTGGGAAGCTGGAATCAAATCTAGGAAAGCAACTCTCCAGAAATTTTTCATGAACAGTCCATTCCAGATATGTCAGACCAATCCATCACTACTCAGATGCCCTATTACAGGTCTGGCTGAAATCATAATGGATGTACAGTACATGAAACTTATACAAATGAATTAAGAAAATGGACATTACCATAAACTTAAATCAATCCAGAAAAATAATAGAATCTATTTACCAACCATAATTTGATTTAATATCTCATATAATTTAAAATGTTTTATGGACATTAACAGAACTTTCTTCTACAAGTAAAATCAATGAATACACTTGCAGTCCTCAAATTTTGGACATAATGCACTTTTATTAAGACCATAAATTAAACATAAAACAAACATTGAAAATAATTTTAACAAATGATTTTTA